AAGGGGGTCTAATGGAGGGGGGAGAGGGGTCTGCTGTGATGGGGTGACGCTGTGATGCGGGGGGGTTTGGGGGTGATGCTATGGGGTGGGATGGGATCAGCGTGGCTGTGTCCCCTTGTCCCCATGGGGCCACCAAGGGTCATCGGGGAGGGGGGTGAGGGGGGGGAGCGGAGTTCCTTTTGCTTCATTTACATGAGTGGGTGGGGCTTGCGGGGTCGTTTGCATAAAAGAGGGTGTGGTTTGGGGTTATTTGCATACAATGGGGGCGTGGTGAATAGGGTGCCCATATAGACGGCAGCGCTGGGCCGTCCCATCCCCAGTGCGCCAGCGAGGTTCGGGTGCTCGGAGCAGGAGGGGTCGGAGGAACCGGGAGCGAAAGAACCGGGAACGAAGATCCGAAGGGTGAAGAAATTCTCGGTGGTCCCACGCTCAGCCCCATCAGATTCAACATCCGACCACCCCCCACCATGAAAGCCATCAGCCCGGTGCGGTCGGTTAGGAGCTGTTACGAGGCCGTTTGCTGCCTTTCGGAGCAAAGTTTGGCCATCGCTCGCAGCAGCAACAACAAGAGCCCGGCGTTGGAGGAACCCATGAATCTGCTGTACGATATGAACGACTGCTACTCCAAATTGAGGGAGTTGGTGCCGGGCATCCCGCAGGGCACCAAGCTGAGCCAGGTGGAAATCCTCCAGCACGTCATCGATTATATCTTCGACCTGCAGATCGTGCTGGAAGAGGGGGCCAAGGGGCGAGACCACTCCTCGGAAGCCACCCTGCTGTCCCTTAAGGTACGGGGGTGTTTTTTCTTATTGGGGATTGGGTTGAAGGGGGGGTTCGGATAGGAAGGGGCTGCCTGGGTGCTGCGGTAGCCCTGACCCTGTGCCCGCTTTCTGCAGGCAGCTGAGCTGGCCTCCGAGCTGTGCTCCAAAGACGAAAGAAGTTTGTGTCACTAACGCCTCCTCCATCAGGTGAGTGCCACCCCCATCCTGGGAACCCCAAAACCCTCAGCACGACACCGCCGTACCCCAAAAATACCCGCACACCTCTTCCCCCTTTGGTACCCCTGTACCCAAAACCCATCCCGTACCGCTTCTCCCTCCCCCCCCTTTGGCACCACTGTACCCCAAACCCACCCCGCACTGATTTCCCCCCTTGGCACCGCCGTACCCCAAACCCGCACCGCTTCCCCCCCGCCCCCATCTCCCCGAATTCTCCCTATAATCGCTCTTTTCTTCTTTCCCAGTGCCAATTAGCAAACACGCACCGACCGTCGGTTCCCGATTCGTTATCAGCCGGAGGTAACGAGCCGCTTCCTGCACGGCGCCGGGCGGCTGCGGCCCCCCCCCCCCCCCCCCCCCCGGCCCCCCGCTTCGTGCTGTGCTATGGGGCTGCGGACCCCCCCGTGCTGTGCTATGGGGCTGCACCCACCTCCCCTCACCTCGGGGGTGCCTTCGATACCCGACGATATCCAGAAATCGGGAGAGATGCGGCTGCTGAATCCCAACCGGAGCGACTTTTTGGAGCGGCGCTCCCCGAATCCCGGCTTTCTTTTAGGACTTTTTTTTTTTCCCTTTTTCTTTAGGACTTTTATGATGATTATTATTTTTTTTTTTTCTTTTCCAACCCGCTGATAAAAACGAGACACTTTCTTCGACAGACTGGTGAAGATGCGGTTGTCTGTATATTTTTGGATTATAGTGAGCGAGTCCTTTGTAAAGGTGTTTAATGGGGGGGGTGGGGGGA